GTGGTCTGCTTTGATCCTAAAATCCAGGCGAATAAAACAACGGATGGCACTCAAAACTAAATCTACTAAGCTCCTTGTTTTTGCATTCCAATAGAACAGAAAAATGAAACGGTGAATTATTCAACATTTGACGAAAACAGAGACACAGACAAACTGCTTCCAACGTTTGACTGTTGCCCCAGATAGGCACAGTAATAAGTGGAAACAAGTTTATGGTTGGCCAAGAAAGAAAACCCAGGCATGATATCGATCACTATACTTTAGTGCTAATCCGAGAGGATTATGCTTGATTTGCAGGGAGTCAAGCGTATCTGGAAGACAAAACTCTCCCTGTAAATCCGTCTGTTTTGATGAGAAAACGAAATCAACCAAAAAGAACCAAAGGAAGATTCCATAAACTTTGCGGAGCATACTGAAATGTACGAGCAGTCACGTGGGTACTCACTTCGCACAATCTTATTAATCACCTCGGCCCTGGAACATTCCAATATTGGTTACCGTGCACAGGTTCTCCAACAATCTAGGATAATTTATATATGTATAACGAGCACATTTTCCTTGAATTGTAAGTCAATTATAGACCCTTGAATACAACTTTTGCGCTGTTCTTGTTGGCTCCTGATTTGGGAGGTCGGCGATTAGATAGTTGGCACTGGATGTTACAGTTACAGGCAACGAACAAACAAACCTGTCGCAAGAAACTGCATGCTAAATGGTTATATAATATAACCAGTGAATAAATAAATAATTTTTAATTGTTTTTAGTGATTGAGCATACAAAGGTACAGTCGAACTCTAGGAAGAGTACCGCGGCCATACAAAGGCTGCCCGGGAAAGATAGGTGATGATGGGAAGATTCGAACTCACGACCTTCAGGTTGCAATTTTGATGCTTTAAACCACTTGACCACTGCCGTCCAAAAGAGAACAGCTGCAACTTCCAGTACTTCCAGTTGGCCAACCATACAAGTAATAACTGGGCCCGACGTTGCTTAACTTAGATGATCAAATGAGAAAAGGTATTTTCACAATCTGATGTGATCGCAGTCGAAACTGTACCGAACTCAGTAAACACTTCAGGGTTGTAAGTGAGTTACTAAGTTGCACCAAACACCTGCTATTGCGAACTTTCTTTGAGATAAAAGTGGGAGGGACCTGTAGTGAAAGGTCAAAAACATAGTGGAGTTGAACCGAAGTTGTCAGATAAATTTCAGATAACTCAAAATCCGGAGATCAAAGCCAAGTTACAAGTTCTATTCAAGCAAAACTGTGAAAAAATAAGACCATGATTGAGTAGAAGCCAGAGTGGAATGCTTAGCAGCTTGTCATTTTCAACTGTTGTGAAATATATAACTCCTTATAAAAGAAAGCGGTTGTTGAAGGAAGAAAGGATATTCATCGATGAAATATAAGCACAAATAATGCAGGGGAATACCCAACGGGCTGTGATTAAACCGTTATGAATCACCATTTTGGACATGTCTCATTTTGAGCACGCACCGCCAGTGAATAAATTTTTACCATGCCTTTGGCGGGTGAAGGTTTTTGAACAGAAAGTATGATGGTTACTCGCGAGTAGTATGATTTAAAAGTACTCAAAAGAATTTCAAAGAGGAATCGATATTCAAAACAGCAGGGAGGCATGCGATAATATGGCAAGATACAATCTTCAAGCTCCGATTACGTCGAACCCCACAGTGATTCGAACTGCAACCTCTTTAGTCATACACTCTGAAGTGGTGTGAAAAATTGTATGCAAGCCTTTTGGACCAGATATCCACCTCGGATTTTGCACCGATCGTTTCGCTTAGATCGAGTCTGTCAGGATGGATTTCGCATAGCAAAGTTGCTTACTTCCGATTACGAAGGAAGTTCATTAGGCTCGTTATTCGATCGCAGCACCGCCTACGACTGACCGATTCGAAAGGACACTGGTGCACAATCTGATTGGTTAGTTTCTTTCTGGACGTGCGTTTGTGAATTTCGTCATGTGACAAGGTAGCCTAAAGGGATATCGGCGTGGAGACTAGGTGAATGTACAGTGATTGACAGATGGATCGGACAGCCCAGACGACATACAGATTGGATCAGGGAAATGAAACAGAAATACTGGGAAAAAAAGGTCGATTGCACAGTTCAACTTGGATGTAACAGTAGAAAAAGTAAAATCAGAATGCGGGTGGGTCTTAAAACATGGCGAAGGTAGAACGGATCTAAAACGAACGGTGTAGATTAGGTGAAAGTGACTGCGGGAAGACCAGGTGTGACAGTGGGTATTCGATCCGGTCGACTTGTGATACCATTCTTCGTTTGTGCAAACAAACATGCGCACTTGTGACCTCGGTCGGATGATGAAACAGAGTTCATTTTGTCCGCTTGCTTGGATCACTTGATCACCCGTGTTTCTCCTGAATGCGTTCTCCATAAAGTCACATGGTCGCTATGACACCCACCACTTAATGACCAAAATGGTAAACCACATGGAAAAACAGAGCATTGTCCCACACTAAAGAGAGTCCATTGATGTGGGCAAGATGAATTAGATACACACGAAAGAACCAACTTTTTCAAGATGTTCTCGATAACAGTCGAGGAATTCAATGAACATTAGTTACCTTGGACCCAGAAAAAAGGTCGACTCCAATTGTTAATTTTTGGCTTTTATTCGTTACATTCCTAACAGAGAGTGTAGTGCAATACGCTGTAACTGGATTTTATTTACTTTCAACTAGGATGCAGCCCGATTTGGTTTCACAATGCCAATACTCTCAAACATGCACACCGAACAGAATCGATCGGAAGGCTCTCAAACGAATTGGATCGACAGCTGCATCACCGTCACCTAACTTACCACCCTTTCGTCACATGAAGACCTTGGATTGGTCGCTTCCCACTCCTGGAAAATCCGTGTACAATGACGCATGCAGTAATAAGGAAGTTATAGGGAATTCTAATTACAGATCTCCGTGTGGTTTAAAGGTTACCTCATGAATTTTATGAACAAACTGAATGCATGCATGACAAGTGAAATTCCTATGGGCGAATTTAGTGTGACAAGCAATTTTCAACTGACTCTGAAAATCCCCCTTTGCCGTAATCATTGCCCATGCAGCAAATTACTATGCCACGGCCACAGTCTCCGCCATAGGTTGATCCTGAAACTCGGGTAGCAGGGGACGCCACATTTGTCGCACCAAGAACAAAACCAACTGTTGGAAGGCCAAAAGTCGTCAGGATTAATCTCTTGTGCTAGCTCGATTAGTCTCCCTCGCTCGAACACCATAGTCACGAAGATCTGCTGCATCACCATGGCAACCGGGGCTTGGAGTGCCGAATCGCATAAGGTCCCACTAGATTGGGTGTAGTATTGAAGGGTCGAGTGTATGCCGCGACAGTTCGGCCAGTTCTGCTATACGGTGCAGAAACTTGGCCATTAAGAAAACAAGATAAAGACAGACTGTCGGTGTTTGAACACCGCTGTCTACGCAGCATTGCACGAATCTGGT